TGACGGAGTCGGTACGAAAATTTGGGGTAAGTCCCAATTTACTTGGTGTTGGTTAAGTTAAGTTTAACTGTTATCAAAATGTTATATACCAACACAGATGAACTTTCATGCTAAGCTTGCATTCCTTTAGAAAAGCGGACATCCCTCGACTGTTATCTACACCAGAACACTAGCTGTGTCCATTCTGTACATGTATCTCCTACATAGTAAAACGTTGAACTTGATTCCAACACACAATTGTACAGGGATCAAATTTTCAGCGACCACTGTCGTCTTCATCGGGATAATTAATGACCAATCACTTCACAACGTGATCTCGCGAGAATTACGGTTTACGAACACGTGACCTTATTCACACTGATGAAGGCGACAGTGGTCCCTGAAAATTTGATCCCTGTACAATTGTGTGTTGGAAAAAAGTTTAACGTTTTACTATGAATACTACCAACACAGATGAACTTTCATTATGTATCTCCTACCTTGCTGCACGTCTCCGTGTTGAGGAGGTATGGGGCTACTGATGACGTAGGACGGAGCATGCCCAGTGGAGTGTGCTGGGGCGTAGTTGAGGTTTGCAAAGTTCTGCAGCGGGACCAGGCGGCCGCCTTGCCCCACCTCGTGCATAGTCTGGGTCAAACATTTAAGTTACAAAATCGTCAATTGTCCACTCCGTGAACAAGATGGACTGATAGTCATCGAAAATTTGGAGGTTAGTACTCTTACCCTTCAAAAACTTGTCACTGCTGAAAGAATTCTCTAGTAAATGAAAACTTTTGCTTGAAACAAGAGATATAGGATATTGGACTACAGAAACAAGTTCGCCTCGCTCACTCAGTGGTTTATTCGCTGGCTGTAGGAACCAATCCTACCTCGTGACACCATATAGACCTCGAGACCGGTCATTAACCCTATGTAATATACTTTCTAAGTGTAGTTTCACTAATTATCTGGACCTGCATTTCGTATTTTGGTACGTAGTATAAATTTCTTATTACCACCCCTCACAGTATTTATTTCCATTCCTATTCGAATTCCAGCAAGAAAGTGAGCTACCACCCAAAGATTTAGTCTGTGTAACGCAAACTCTGCCGTCCGTGGCTATACTGGCCAAGCGGGGCGGCTGGATGTTAACGTTGGGCAGCCGGCAACCATAATGCGATTTAATCAGGCTACCAAAGATTGAGAAATTTAAAATTCTCCACTGAGGTGTTGGCAAAAATGAGTAAAAACGAGAACTCTTGCTTACCTGGTAGGCGTTTCCGGTATTTCCATTCCCACAGCAGCTGCTGCCCCCCTCCCCACCACAGCACCCCTTACACAGTGTGTAGGAGCAGACGGATATGGTAGCGATGGACAGACCCAGCTCCACCAGCGCAAACAACAGGTTTCCCGCGTCAAATGTGAAACGGGCGATCTGTCGAAAACACCACACATTATTAATTTTGTCTAAGGAGGTTTTGTTTTCGATGTTTTTGCTTGTGTCTGCATTTTTTATACATTAGAGTCATAGGGGAATGGTGTAACCGCAGACTGACAGGAAGTGTCGAACTGAATAACAATATTGAATAAAAGAAGAAACTCGCAGCAACTCTGTATACTTCAAGGAGATGTGAAATAATTTTGTGACTTTTTAAAACAGTTTCTGCATTTATGTTCAAGCCCCTTGCGAATTACATGTCTTTTGTTTATATGATCAAAAGCCACTTCATTCGAGGAACTAGAGAAAAGATTCATTTACACAACATGTAAGAATTATTTACTGGCATGGTGTAAACTCAGTACAATAGGTACAACAAAGACATTGAAAAATTATGAAAATCTTAATTTCGCGGCATGGTGAATATCAAGAATTCGCTAAGTGTGCCTTTGAGTTCGGGACTGAAACTATGGTAGCCATGTTGAGACAACTGAAGGCAGAACATACGAAAACCGCAGACTCAAAAATACCGTCAATTTTGCAGTATTTACACTATACATGTACTGCCGCAGTGTTACAATTTGGTAAAGCACAGGACTGGTGCACTGACCTCTATGCCATTGCAGCTATTGTGACCGGTGCTCCAGTCATAGTAGCACCCTACAGATCCCGCGTGGTAGTTCCAGTGTTCACCGTCAATGGCAATGGCGGCTGTTGTGATCCCGCATAATGTCATCAACACACTCAAGCATGACATTATCAGAAGGCTGATGACCTAAAACAAATACCAGAGATAAAACCAATCACTCAGATCATAATGGGAATGTTGTTACTCTCAATAGTAGAGGGAGGTTTGCCTTTTTTTTAACGGTGTCGCTCAATGCAAGGCCAAGAGGTACTTAAGTGAGTATAATGTAGTTATGTCAGGAGATGGCGGTGGACCTTTGTTTTGAAGCTTTGTGGATTGTAATCTGACGGAAAGCATCTGTTTGGAAGAAAGGAAAGGTCTCCCGTGCCCTTATGCAGAGCGTATGTTTGGAAGAAAGGAAAGGTCTCCCGTGCCCTTATGCAGAGCGTATGTTTGGAAGAGAGTTCCATAATTTTGCAGTCCGGGGAAAGAAGCTGTTGTTGTAAAATGACTTGGAGACAGGTATGTTAACGGTGCTTTGATGAGAACTGGAATTATTCAGAGGTCCAAAGTAATGATATACTAACTCACCAAACATTTGGTGTTCCTGTGGCTGGATACGACTCCCAGAATGCCTGTCACCAGGTACTGCAGGGACAGAAATCGGCAACATCACTTATTGGTTTCGGTCAGAAAAGGGCTCCGCCCCTGAGGCGTCGCCAATTACATTTGTTCATCACTTTAATACTAGTACTAACAGTAAAGGCTCTAAGGATGTTTTTGAATCACACATGCTTAAAATATTTATTTGTAACACTTCCCAAAGACAAATTTTCAACCACTGTCTCCTTCACACAATAAATAATCAGGGCACTCTAGTCATCATGAAACAGAGACGGGGGACGATATAAACTCCCTAGCACATTTGCTGACGTCACGTATCCGTCAATTTCCGTGTGAACAAGGTCACGTGTCTGTAACCTTAACTCTCGCGAGTTTACGTTCGGAAGTGATTGGTCATTAATTATCCTGAAGGCGACAGTAGTCAAATATATTGAAACTTTTGATCCTTGTGTTGCATTGTACTATAATTACTATCAACACAGATGAACTTCTATGATAACTAAATGTGTTTTTTACGATTTCTGTCTGAAAATATGCCGCGAAAATTAGCTATAGCTAGAGTATCTCACCACTTGTATTCTCCAAGTTGAATTGTAAATAAAAAAAATGTGTCGTTCCACAAGTAGCTAGAGTATCTCACCACTTGTATTCTCCAAGTTGAATTGTAAATAAAAAAAAAAAAATGTGTCGTACCACAAGTCCAGTCCAGATGGGCGCCCCGACGTAGAACAGCAGTGTTTGTATGACCATTCCGATGATTCCGAAGGTCAGCAGAAGCCCGGCGAAAAAGATCATGGCTCCCCCGAGCCCCCTAGCGCCTGCCACCCGGTACTGCATCCGCTGAGAGCGGGAACCTGGCTGACTTTGGGTCTCCATGGTGGTGTGCTATCACTCCCGACTGTTCAAACTGCGGAGAAAATTATTGACTTTTTATCACAAACTCTTCTGTCTCTCGATAACAAATTATCCTTTTCTTGCCAAGATAAAACTTAAGGTAAAAAGTTAATATTGTCACAGAAACGTCGGCTGATCGAATAAAAGACTTGGTTGTATAAAAAT